CCTGTAGGAAGGCTACAGTTAGGAAGAGAGAAGCCTTCCACACCCATACTTGGCACAGGAAAGACAAGGTAGGAGCCATAGGTGGGGAAAATTGCTAGGGGGGCTTAAAGAGGGCTAGGTTAGGACAGGCTGATCCTGAAAAGCACATGTACAGCACATTACTGAGTTAGGGAAAATCAGCATGATCAGAGCAGGTTGGACAAAGTCATAGAACTTTATGATGCCACTTTAGTGAAAATTAAATTCTTGATATCACAATATTTAATTATTTAAGCTACTTCTAAAGAGTAGATTTTTCACAAGTAGATGTAGAAAAATAAATTAACACACCCAAAGCCACGTAGTTGAAGGGCTAATTCCTTGTTATGTAAACTTTTTACTTAGTCAAGATAAACAGGGCACTTCCTGTGAGCTAGGCACTATAGGAGATACAAAAGAGCATAAAATGTGGTCCCTGTTATTAACAACATCCTAATGAAGATCCGAGATGTCAAGTAAAGGCAAGTGTGTGCCATCACCACTTTGCTCTCCTCTTTGGTCAAGGCCCCTCCAGCAACTTCACCTCCTGCAGGTGCACTCTTAGGATGTCCATCATTCCACTGAGTTCTGAAGAACATAGCCTTTTCTGGAAGAAACTCCTTTCTTCAATGCTTCAGGCCAGTTTTGAGTCTCAAAGTAAGTGGACAGGATATCAAATACTGTTAGAAGGGTAAATAGAAAACACAGTGACCACACACTGGAAAAAAAGGAACTAGTAAATGACTAATGAAAAGGGTGTTCTTGAATATGCAACAAACCTACTCTGTACCACACCTGGTATTAGATCCTGGGGAGACAGAGGCAAAGCTACAGGCCCTGCTTGCCCACAAGCACTGCCTACACTGAGAGACATAGGTGTATAAATGGACAATGCTGCAACAGAGAGGAACACAATACAAAGGAAGGGTCCCGATGTGGCCTGGGACGGAGAGGAGCAGCCAAAATGCCTGTGAACTGAATCCTTAATTCACTGTCAATGATGGGTTAAAGGCAGGGTGTTCTAGGTCAAGGCAACAATTTCAACTGTATTTAACATAGATCGGAATTAGGAAGAAAATGAAAAATAGCTTTGAGAAGCCAGAATACATGTCACAAAGTGCATGCAATAAAGTACAAGCACATCAGTCAGGGGGTAAGCTGCGTCAAGGCCATTCATACTTAGGCATGATGCAAAGAAGCACCAGAATTAATTAACACATTAAGCGTGGGCCGTGTGAGCTGTACCTTGATTGATGGCCAATATCTCTGAATGGTAGTTTTTCTCATTCTGGCGTCTGACCATGTATTCCTGGATTGGCAAGCGGGCTGTCTTGACAGAGTTTTCTCGGGCCTTTTGAAATGTCACCTTCTGTAAATAACAGTTAAATATTTTTCTTTTAAAAATAATACATGAAAATATTTTCATGCATAGCAAATTATGAGAATCCCCATTTATCACTCTAATTTCATCTATAATTATAATTAATGATAAATGTATTAAAAAGTAGCCTGTTATTAACCATGTCACCCCAATAAATTCAATTAAAAAAAGTGAAAAAAGAAAAGTAACCTGCAGATAATTAAGAGCTCTGCAGATAGCCCTAGCTGG